ACTTTAGAGTTTTTCAAAGCAAGGGGAACTGGTGACTCCAAATTCAGAGATGGTGTGAACTTTATGGGAGGTACCTGTGTTGCTGAACCTCTTTTGAGGCTGATGTTCAGTACCTCTGATAGCTCCTATAAACTGAAGACTAGAACCCAGAGATGATTTACATCATCTCTAAAAGAGAAGTCAACAACCATCACTATTTCAAAGACCAACTAGATGGCCAACATGCTTAAGGAAAAGGGTTGATAGCCAAAATATGTTGTGTATCCTAGAGGTACAAAAGGAGGATTCTAGCTTTAACCTACCTATGAGGGCATATGACAGCCAAAAGTCCTAAAACAAAAGAGAAAAAAATTGTGCTGCACTTTTTTTTTGTAATAGACCATTCACACACTGCAGCTCAGGTGTGATCTTTCTATATAATAATAACCACATGTTGTCAAGTCAATTCTGACTTACGGCAACCCTTTTCTGGGGTTTTCAGGCAAACTTAGAAGTTGTGTGCATTCCCTTCTTCTGGGGGTGCCCTGGGTCTGCACAGCTTGCCCAAGGCCACACAGGCTGGCTCTTCTCACAGGAGGTACAGTGGGGGAATCAAACTCCCAACCTCTGGCTCCACAGCCAGATACCTAACTCACTGGGCAATCTAGCCAGCTGATCTTTCTATATAGTGCTATAGAAATTTTCTGGTTTGTATCCTACTTCAAAATATCATGACTTCCTCATGAAGGAATTCCTGGGCATAGTTGCATTTCACTGAAAACAATGGCAAAAATGATTGATTAATACAAGAGTGCAGAACCTGTGGTTCTTCGGGCCATGTCAGATACATTCTCTCACCCCAATCATTGGACATACTGGCTGATTATGATGAGAGCTGGAATCCAGTAATATCTGGAGGACTAAAGTAATATCGGGAGGATGATGCCTGGAAGACGAGAACTTGGAAGAACCTCTTGAATTTATCTGAGGTAGAGATTATAACATACATTAATTAAGGTTGGTTAGAAATGTAGCTAAGGTGTGTTATGCCCCTTTATCTACAGGTTGTGCTTAAGATAACCCATAGTTCTATGAGCCTTCCAGCTTATCTCAGCACTATCTTGTAAAATCCTCTTCAACCCAGAGCCAAAGGTGAGTCAACAACACAATGACTCATACTTGAGTCTCATATATGCTGATATAATCAAATTGATGGTGGTGCTTTTCTGAAAGAAAGCGGCTCCCCGCCAGGGTTGAAATAGGCATGACAAACATATTGCTGCAAAACAAATGAATGTAGATGCTTTAATTCAGAAGGGACTAGAAACCACTGGTTCGCTTTCAGTTCCCATCAACTTCCCTTTTATGCAGAAATCCCAGATCTGTGAGGGGAGGGGATTAACAAAAGCCCTGCTGGAAGAGAACTTTCCCAGAGGGAAATGCATTCCAGATAATGCTTCATTGCATGGCACAAGCAAAAGGCTGAGTCTGAATTATGCTTCAAAAGCAGCAGCATTCTCTTTAAAAAAATGAAAAGAAGAGAAGGTATTCTGGCCTTCCTTACCATTCACTTGACCAGAAAATGGCATTAAACTAAGGTGCTTTTGCCTACCACCATCGCTACCACCAAGTCACTCTCAATTTACAACACAAGCCAGATCGACCCAGCAGTTATTTATTGCCTGCAGTAAAAACATAGACCTTTGCTGTTATTCTACTGGTGAAGACAGAGAGAAGTAGAAATTAGTCATTCTATCCTTTCCACTGCCTCCTGAGAAACATAGAGTAGCCACAGAAGCCATGCAAAGCAGGCTACTCCCTCAGAGGTCTTCTCACCCAGCCAGCCAAAATCCACAGTTGGGCAGTAGCTTTATCAGGATGGATCAACATGTGCAAGTTATAAAGTTCTCCAGGACTTTACATCATACTAGGGGGTACCAAAATACAGGGTGGGGGGCAGGAGAAGAAAAAAAGTAGCTCCATGTATTATTTTTAATTGCCTGTAGCTATTTCCCTACAGATAATCCAGCGTTCAGGTAATATCTCTTCTGCAGAACGTATTTAAAATGCATCCCTTCTCCAATGAGATAAACTCATTCCACGATGGACTAGGTGGGCCAGTCAAATACAGTAGATGCATTCTTGCAGTTCAGTCTCCGAAGCAAAGGAGCCAAAGGTTTCATAACCGAGAGGTGCGTGCATGTGAGCATTCTCTTGGGGGCAGCAAAGCACCTGAGCAATATTTCCAATTCCAGGGGCAGCATCTAGTAAAAAGGGGTGGCGAGAGGAAGCTAATCTGAGGACAGATTAGCAGAATACCAAACGGAGGTCAGTCTACAGGGCTCCCGGGCTCGCAAATGAACACTATTAAGGCAATTAACTGAGAAGAGAGGTGCGGAGAGGAACTGGCGCAGCTCGTCAGGCATCTACTAAATAATCTGGAATAAGCGTAGTATGCCAGCCCTAAATCATTCAGGTACGCTCCGGGTCTGTTCTCATTATTCCTTCCTTCGTCCTCCCCCACTTTTACAACATCGCTGCCCAAACTGCAAAAAGTGTCTCTTTCCTCCGAGCTGATTTCCTATCTATTTTGTTTTTTACGCGTCTGTTTTGCTTAGATGTCTTCTTGCTGCAGCCCAAATTGATGCAGCCTTTCTCCTGCTCAGCACCATCAAACCGCTCTAGGCTTTTAAAACACAACAGCTCGACACATATGCAGATGCTTTCTAAACGTGAAGGGGGGGGTTGCAAGGATGTCTGCCCGTTTGAGAGAATGCCCTCATAGTTTTTGCTGCAGCTCTTCCCTTGCCGCCTTCCATGATCCTGGAGTCCCCCTATACTAACCACCAAAGATGGGGAATATTTCCCCATCCGGCTTTCCTACTTCAACCCTGCAATCCCAGTGATTCATGGCAAACCATTATCGGGACCCTCCTGTTCATCCTTCATCGCCCAACCAATCCCCCTGGCAGTGCTGGCATGTTCGTTAGCATATCCTTGAACATCAAAGCCCCTCAACCCACTGCAAAGTTCCTCACATGTGGCGAGATGTTCTCTCCATATAGTAAGAAAGCTGGGATCAGAGCTTGCTGGGGAAAGACCCAAACGCAGCCCTACACGCCCCTTCTTAACTGCAATCTTGGCTATCGATATTTTCTCCCAGAAAGGAGCTATTACCGATCCTACAATCCACGGCGACTGCCCGGTCCTCAAGTTTAAAAGGAGTGGGCGAATATATCAGAAACAAGAGGGAGAGAAAATGAACAGTCTGCCAGTGTGAGGAGATCCCTCTAAAACCCCATTCGGCACGATCGAGGCAAATTAGAGAACTCACCCTCAGAGATCAAGCGAAGTTGGATGAAATCTTCCAGTCCCAGAGGTTTTTTGAAAAATTAATCATCGTCCTCTCGATTTCCCGACACCTGCAAGCTTCACTTTCCCGAGCAGCTCGGCAAAAAGCTATTCCCAGCGCCTGTGCTGTTCAACTCCGTGTTTTGTGTATTTTGAAAGAGAAAATCTCACTCCCTCGGCTTTTTCTTCAAAAGAGCCAAATGGACTACACGGTGGTTGTACTCGTCTCTTCCCTCTGTCCAAAATCAGGATGGGTGTAGGTCTTGCATAGTTTAGAAGGCAGTTCGTAGCAGTAAATCTTTCCCCCTCTTCCCTCTGGCTCGCTTCACCTAGGCATAGTGGAAGGTTTGTAGCCTTTCTCCTTCCTTACGGGATTCGACAACCGCCTTTTCCCGTGACTGTTGCAGATGTCCTGCTTTTCTCTCGCACCTCCAGATAATTAATGGATATCGGTGGGCTTAATCAGGCTGACTAAGGGCTTGAATCCCCCTTTCCTCCCCCTCTCCTACCATGCATGCACACACAGAGACACACACGCACAGAGAGAGGGGGGGCAAGCCGTCTTCCGAAGTGCCTCAAGGAAAGCAAGGTTAGGCTAGCCCGGAGGACCTGTCCGCTCGCGATGGTGCTGAAAGAATCGTCCGTTCCAGAGTCAGGCGCTAAAATGCTCGAGAAGCGAGAGACTCTTTTATCCTTATTGGATCTTGCAGGATAGAAGTGGTATTCCAGGTCCAGGGACAGGCTTCTCTAGTGCAAAATTTTCCAGCTGCCTTTCCCCCCGCCCCCCCACTTTCAAGGAAATCCTAGAATTTGACAACGGAACTCCTGCCGAGAGAGACTGTGCAATGTGGGGCTGGATGAAGTGCCAGCCTCCTCGTCAACCGCGAGGGGATATCAAAGCCACCTCCCGAAAGGTCCCCACTTGTGCTTTCACCGTTGGGGGAGTAGCAGGAGGAGACTGATCCGTGGACGTAAAAAAATATATATACAGAGAGGAAACGGGTGGGGGTGGAATCTACAGTAACAGACTAAATTCAATCTGATAACATCTGCTGAACAGCATGCACAGCAGCCAGAGAGGAGGGAGGCTTGGAAGTTTTGCATTTGGAGCAGCTGCTTTGATTTCTGCCAGCCTTTTAAAGAACTAGTACACCTTGGTATTAGAGCGAAAAAGGTGGAAAACGATCCCACGGAAATACACTTCTATATAGGGTCGTTCTTCCTTTCCCTATCCATATTTATCTACCTCGACCATGTTGCTTCAGATGAATAACTCAAAATAAAGCAAAATGCACCTAATGAAACTGGCTACAGATTTACAGTAATCCAAGCAAGTTTCAGCTGTAATTAACCTGTTCGTCTTTAAGGACTTAAAAGCTTCTCTGTTGCAGATACTGGAAAGCAAAGTAAAATGTTAAGCTGTTAAGCACAATGCTTTCAGTAAACAGTGGGAGGTGCCTTCACATTTTTTTAATGGGAAGTGTAAAAAGAAACAATACAACGGTTAAAATCAAGTGCTACATGCAGTCATGAATATATTCATAAGCAAAAGCAGCATTATGAATGTTGGCACTACGTGTTTAATGCAAAGGTGTAAACACAATGGACGGCTATGGAATCAATTGACTTCTTAATCGTAACATCCATCATTGAAGCCTTTGTAATCTTACCTGTGTAGATATGTGCAGTATTAATAATAAAATGGATCATGAAAATAGACTTCTCCAGCATTCTCTTCAGACTTCTGAAAATGGATACACAGAAAAAGAGGTTGCCTGTAGCCATGTATTTATTTCACAGCCTGTAACACAGGACTAGAAAAGACAAATTCTCTTGCAGATGTAAGACTTTCCTGTCCTTTCTGAAATCTTCATATAACACCTGGCCACAAATGACAGTTATCATTAGCACATGGCACATAGATCAAAAACAAATTGATATATAATCCAAGTAATTTGCCATACAAAAAAGTAGGGATGATGCTTGGATAGATACCTGTATGTTTATCTGTAAGGCTGTTTTATTTCTCTGTACTGTTCAGTAAGATGATCACTTAAAATTTGAGTGGCTACAAACCAGAGTAAATTTGTCCTCTAGTACAGCAGGCTTAATTGCAACCCTCATACACTGTTGTATGTGCCAAGAAGTTCACAGTGGGGTTTCACCATGTATAATACAATCAAGAACAAAAGCAACAATATGCTTCCCACACATGGTCAGCATAGCATTCAATTTGTAGCACATCTTGTACTAATGAGGAAACTCACTGGCAAACCCTAGTGGCTCAGAGGTAGTCACTGCGGTCTTTCAATTAATTACTCCAAAACAGGACTCTTTAGAAATCATCATTAACAGAATTAACTGGTCTAATCCATCAAGATAATTATTGATCTCTAAATTGGTCATGAAAATTCATCTGCAGCATGTTACAGATTATCCTACCACAGGGGTGGGTGGGCACATCTGAACCAGCATCAACCTCCCCATGCAAAGAGGCTCAGGATACCAAAAAAAAGATGTAACCTTCCATTTGTATTTCATATACCGAGATAGTCTCATATTTAAGTCACAGTGAGCAGGAAGGCCTCTGTCTTTCTAAAATCAATGGTAAAACTCCACTGGTAGATTCAATTGGGCTGCACACACACACACACACAAACACACAAACACACAAACCACAAGCAAGATCAGCAGCTAATGCTATGCTCTAAAGCAGTGGTTCCTAATTGTGGGTCCCCAGATCTTCTTGGACTGAAATTCCCAGAAACAGTCACCACTAGCTGTGCTGACCAAGATTTCTGGAAGTTATAGTCAATGAACATCTGGGGACCCAAGGTTGGGAACCACTGCTCAAAAGAGAGAGAGAGAGAGGACACAGAGTCATCATCCCTAAATGACCATTCCCATACTCCAACTGAACAAAATTGGCTAATTCATACTCTTGAAAAGCCTGGAGTAATCACAGTCCTCCCACACACAGTCTCCCACCACCACAGACAGTAGATTAATGGTATTGATTGCCCCCTTGGGATTTGTCTCAAGTGTTCACATTATAGCACTCCTGGAGAAACACAGTACATCATCAAGATTAGTTATTTCAGCAGTGATCGAAAGGCAAGGAATTCCCTGAGAATTAACAACTAGCTGCATGCAGAGAACAGATGCAGATGGGTGAGATACATTCTGCTTCATCAAGGTTATTACTGTACTTATTTGAGTCAGAGCTGGCTCAAGCTATTTTGCTGTCTTTGCAAAAATTAATTCCCCCTCCCCACATCTTGTTTTATGTAGAGAGGATGGGGGAAATGTTGTTTCCTCTTCAAGGAGTTTCTTGATTGCAGCCCTTTCCCTTGATCTATACACACAAGCAAATGTAATAAAAGGAAGAGATGTTCACTCAACTCACTTGTCTGGAAAGAAGGGAAGGGGCTATTATCGAGGAAAAAAAGGGGCATGGTTGATCCTCCCTCTATTGTATCTTACAACCCTCCCCAAATTTGTGCCTATTGGTTGCTTTGGGCTGGAACTCTTACATCCCTGAACATAAGCTGTGCTAGCTGGGAGTGATGGGAGTTATAACCTAAAACATCTGGATAACATCAGGTTCAAGAAGACTGCCTTAGAATGTGGTTTACTCATATGTCTGTGATAGAGGATTTTTCTTTCCCCCTATTTTCCAGACAGCTTGGAGGATCTGGGAATCTGACATCCCGGACAGCTGCCTAGTAGGGATGTAAAGTGGTCCCCCAATGCATTTCATGCCCAAATAAGGGCACACAGATATGTGCCCAAGCAGCCCTGTGCCCTCTTGGTGGCACTCCAGCACAATCCTTATTTCAGTCCATGATGGTATTTGTGCATTTCTGGATTTCCATTAAATGGCCCCTTCCCATAAATGGGGAAAATGTAAGCAGCTATGACCAGGAGTGAAGCTGCAGGCGACAAAGCATCATCAATTTCTGGCATGTGTTATTATACAGGGGGATTTTATTTCTATTGACAAGCATCGTTCTTGCAATTGTACAAAGGCCAGCTGGTTCTGGGACTTGTACCATCACAAAGAAGAAAACATGTGGAAGTGGGATTATTCTTGCATCAACACACAAGGATCAGGTGGTTTCGGGGCAGGATACCACACTCCACTTCACGCAACCCTATTTATCCCATTCTACCCTTTTAAAGGAAAAGAAAAAAAGATACCGTCTTCTGTCTCCCTCTCCCTGGATAATGGAGGAAAGATGCAACTTATTTATTGATAAGTGTTATGCTGCTGAACTGGCTGGTCACTCAAGTGATTCAGAGGTGGATTTTAAAGGGAAAAGGGGGAATACTCTTCATCCTCCTCTGTCTTTCCGTCCATGGAGGAAGCAGGATAAAGCGGTGTTTTGTTTTAATTTCATTAATAAGCGGCATACTTTAGTTTCCACCTGTGCAAAGATTAGACCGTACAGCAACTTAACTAAGCAAAGTGATAGCCAAGTGCAACATGAGGAATAAATTTAGTTGAATACCAATGATCACACATGCTGGAACTAAACCAAAAGGCATGATCCTACACAAAAGACACACACAGGTAGATATGGAAAATCATTGGGCCAGTTTGTGATTACCAGAATGTTGTGTTGCCACTGAGAAATGGAGCAAACCAGCCCATTCCCAAAGCAGTCCAAACCGCACAATAAAACACTGTCTGATTATTATCTAGCTTAGGATGTGATCAGACAGTGTTTTATTGTGCGGTTTGGAAAAAATCTAGAACATGAATCCTAGATAGCAACAATTATACAAATGTTTTATTTCACCCCACTCATACACAAAATTGCTGGTGGAGCAGCCACAAGATATATCAAAGAATGACTTCTGTCTGATACCTTCATACTGCCATGGTGGTAAGAATGTCCAAAAGAGACCTTGGACATCAACTGTGTGGGATTCAACATTCACTGACCTTCTGCTCTGTCTGTGGATTCCTTTTCCTCCATTCAAATCACTAGCTGTCCTTGGTTATAAACTTTCCAAGCCCATGAATGCCAGATGGAACCTGAGGGATTTGTGGGATGTTGCTCCACCATTGGTGACTAGCAGGTCTTTGTTCCACCCCATAGTCACTTGGCAATCATACAAATATGCCTGAATCGCCACTTTTGCACTTTTGTCTAAAGACCTTGCACATCCCTTGTGCCTAGGCTATACATTGAGCAGAGCTTGGAAATGTCACCTTTTTTATCACAATTTCCAGAATCCCTTATCCAAAAAACATGGAAATCTTTCAGTCACTGCTATTGGGTTAGGCTAACCCTGAAAAGAATGGCCAAATGCTAGTGGCTAGGTCATCAAATCCCTCCTAAATCCCATTATACTCCCTGCTGGGGACATATAAAGCATTATTTATAGAAAAGACCTGCCACATGGAGATTAGAGAAAGGTCTGCTACTATCCTAGCATCAGCACCAAGCAAGTATGACAGCATAAGCTAGCTTCCCCTCTGCCTCAGCCACATCAGTTTCTCCACATATTTATCAAGGTATCTTTAAACTATGCCTTTCCCAAACAGTGCCAACCCATTTGCAAGAAGGGGATTCAGCAAAACAGCAATTTTAAAATATGCTTCATGACAGTTGACTTGTTCTACTCCTTCTGTTGAAATAAATATAGAGGGGGCTGCCATAAAAACCATCCTGAAATGTTGACTGACAGCTAGAGTTTCAAGGGCAATATCTATCTGCAAGACATATAAGGTGCAAATGCTTACCTTGCTTGGTGCCTGTTAAAATACCACTCTCTTTACTTGAAGAAGCCAAACATTCATGCCTGCTCAGAGTGCGGTTTGTTTTTATTGAGCTGAGCCAGTGTCAGAGGGCAAGATTTAAACTTGTGATGTCCCTGCACAGCGTGGCCATTATCATCATGCACCTGAAGCAAATGCAGAACTCTTTTAAAGGTCAGTGAATAATTCCTTGTCCACTCCCATTCACTCACTGGCATGTTACAGGAAACCATCAACAGGGCCCATTTGTGTCTTTATTTACCAATGAGCAACCTGACTGAGATCCATCCTAGTTAATTCACTTAGCATACAAAACACCTAATTCATTTTATACTCCTTAGCCAGGAAACTGAGGGTGTGATCAGAAGACTGCAAAGGCCCACACCTGATTGCACTAGAGAGGGTCACTTTGATGGGAGCAATCACTCTTAAAGCAATCCTTCCATCTGCCAGGGAATTACTCTAGCCTGGCCTCAAAAAGTAGACATCCTACATCTGGACCAAAACAGTCCAACTTGGAGATGAACTGGGGTCAGGCTCAAGTGCATTTCCCTGTTCAAACTGTGATCGTAGAATAATTGAGTTGGAAGGGTAACGTCATCAAGTCCAACCCTCTGCTCAATGCAGGAATCCAAATCCAAGAATATCCAACAGTTGGTTGTCTATTTTTATCTTGAAAATCTCCAGTGGTTGGAGTGCTCATCACCTCCCTAAGTAATTGGTTCCATTGTTGTACTGCTCTAACAGTTAAGAAGTTTTTCCTGGTAGTCAACCTAAATCTGGCTTCCTGTAACTTGAGCCCCTTGTTCCGTCTCCTACACTCAAGGATGACTGAAAACAGATTCTGCCCCTCCTCTGTATGACTACCTTTTAAGTATTTGAAAAGTGCTGTCATATCTCCCCTTAGTCTTCTTTTTTCAGGGGTAAACATGCCCAATTCTTTCAGCCTTTCCTCACAGTGCTTGGTTTCCAGTACCCAGCCTTGTTTTCACCAGGGAAAATATCACACCGGGCCACTCCACAAGCAGTCCAGATTTTCCCATATGATCACACCCTGAAAAGCACAGATTTTCAAATACTGTATTCATCTCAAATCACCTCAAAGCTACCATTTCCCAAGCAATCCACCTTTGGATTGAACCTCACTATAATTGTTTCCTTAGAAATAAAAGGATGCCCCTCTTTCACAGAGTAAATTTTGTGGTGAATGGAATTCCTTGCCACTGTTGGTTCTAGGTTAAATGGTTGAATAAATTCATGGATGGAGCTATGTTTGGAGTGGAAAACTGTATTTGGACTGTGCACTGGATTTGCTGTCAACTACAACCATCGCTTCTCTGCTGTCCTCTGAGACTTCATTGAATTGATCTAACAAAAATGAGAGCCCATACAACAAAGAATAAGTTTGCCATGGTTATTAATATGAAACATAAGAACTCTCAGGAAATTTAATGTCTCAGTTTGAAACACTCAAAATCTGTAATGGTTTGCAGCTGGGAAACACCTTCAATTATTTTTTTAAAAAAATCAGTTACTAGGGTTATCTTGGAAAAGCAGACAGGCCTCTTCATAATGTCTGTCCGCAGTCTTTAAGGGCTTTCATCTGCCCTATTCCAAATGACAGAACTTTTCTGTCAATATAGTTGGCTAAAACTGCATTTTCTTTCTTTGGATCTGTTCCAAATGCAAGCTTTGCACTCTGCAGGAGTGCTCCAAAATGATCCTAATGAGCATGGAAGAGTTACAGCTACCACACAGTTTCTCCAATGACAAATCCTTATGGCATATCTAAAAATATTTAAGGCACATCTAACAAATATATGTCAGCTACATATATATGTAAAACTATTTATGATATATATCCCATATGTTGACTTTCAAAATGTCATTTCATAAGCAATAAACTTTGGCTGAAATCCTATTCCATAACTTACACTCATGTCAGACTGCTGACATCATCAGCAGGAATGATTTTTCAGAAAGTAAATATTTCCTACATCTCTCCTGAGGTTTCCATGGCTCTCATCGTTGGGGAGCAGTGGGAGCTGTGGGATACGAGGAGGAAATTTATAACTTCCAAATGATTGCTCCTGCTGATAATGCCATTGGCTTTATGTTGGTGTAAGTTATGGAACAGGATTTCAACCCTTGTGTCAGAACCTCAAGTTTTAATACAATGTTTCAGAGAAGGGCAAATGAGAGAAGAATTTATCATACGGGAGGAATTGGACCTTTTGAAGACAGAATGATGCAGATGGCTCACACATGGAGAAAAACTGCTTTGTAACATGCAGCCAAATTTGTGAAGTATAGCTATTGTAAAGTACTATTTAGTAGGCATCCTTCAGTCTTGAGAGACTATGGTAGCGTGCTCTGTACGGAAGTCTTGGAACAGCGTCTAGTGTGGCTGATAAGGCCAATTCGAGAGTGACAATCTCTTCCACATTGAAGACAAATACAATCTGTCCTCTGTCCAGCTCCCTGGTTTTGCTTCTTTCGGGACTGCCTCTTTGCCTTGGCCTGCTGGACACGGGTCTCTTCAAATTGGGAGAGGCCATAATGTACCACATGCCTCCAGGCTGAACGCTCAGACGTCAAGGTTTCCCATGTGTTGAGGTCCATTCCTAAAGCCTTCAGATCCCGCTTGCAGATGTCCTTGTATCACAGCTGTGTTCGCGCTCTGGGGAGGTTTACCTGCACTAATTCTCCATACAGGAGATCTTTTGGAATCCAGCCATCAGCCATTCTGAGTACTATTTACTCTTATGTGAATCAATCTTTCAACTGGGGATCTATCTCAGTAACAACAAGCTTGAGATTGCTGTATGGAGATTCCTGTTGTGTATGGGAAGGCATGGTTAATCAGAGATTTTCTATTCTATTGTCATGAGCCATTGATCTTTTTTGTGTTTTTCTATAGAAAATCTCTCACTCAATGGGGGTGGTGGCCTTAGATACAATACAGTCTCCTATTTGTCACACTGACCTTTTCATCCTTCCCCAGAAGGATTGGGGCACAAACAAGGAAAATCACTGTTAACGACCATCAACCACCCATGACCCCAGGACTGCAGAAGTGGGATTATCCCTCACCCAGACCCCCAGTGAGCTTCCACAGCAGAGTGGGGATTCAAATGCAGGCGTTCTGAGTCCTGGTCCATCACTCTCTTTGCTACACCACACTGGCATTATCTACACTTAAACCCCAACAACATCATCGGAACTGTGCAAAGCATTGCAACCTACAACCTTCATTTCTTCTCCCTCTTATTCATCATCCTCCCTGTCCAGCCCAAAGCCTGCAACATTTTAATTGTTCATAAAGAGGGAGCAGCAGCTTAAATAAACATCCCCTAGCTTGATGTTCTATTTCTAACAGTTTTGAAAGAACCAGGCTCTTGTACCTCTAAACAGAAGTGATGGGGCCATGCAGGTGCTGATTTAGTCTCCCAGCTTCCTAGAAACAGAGTTGCTCATAGTAAGAATCCCCTTGTGGACTTCTCCTGCTAAATATCTCCATGTTATTTCCTTGCCACCCCCCTGTCTCTGTTGACTCCAGGTCAGGGTGACTGTCTTTACAATAGTTCTGACTTATTCTTGTCTCTCTGTGCTTCTTGCTGTCAGTTAAGAGCCAGCTATTATCAACATGTGTGTCACGACTAGGAATGTCAAAATACAATTAACATTTAAAAACCCAGCTCAACCTAGGCAACAGTGTGCTGTTGAATGGCACCGTGCCTCCCCAGCAGAGTTCTGTGTGTGACAATCAAAAAGGGAACTGTTTTTCACTTCCAGAGTGAGTGGTAGGGGGAAGAAAGGCACAATCAGCTTCATTGCATTAAGAGTGGAATGTATTTACTTCATTAGGACCAACTTTAGCTCTTCGAACAGAGATGCCTTAAAATTACATTTGTCAGTCAATCTGCTGACAGCTATTTGTCTCCTCCAATGTTTGCTTCAAAATGCATATGTTTATCAAATAATGCACAAATGCCCAAAAAGCTTGCTGAGGAAGACTAGAGAATCTGATTTTTCAGATAGCTGATCAGAAGACAGGATGAAAAAGAAAATTTAGCCCTTTCAACAAATTTTCACCATAAGGAGCATTTAATGCAATATTTATCATCCCCAGGAATCAATACTGCTTCATCATACACAAACAAGAAGGATTTGAACAAATCACCTCTTGCCCCCAACACACAAAGGATGGGAGGAATCAGTGGAAAGCAGGATAACTCTGGTGGTGCTTTCAAATCTCAGCAACTTCCCAGCACTACTGAATATCAATCCAAGATGGATTCAGTGGCAGAGCACTATCAAATTGCTCATACTGGGACATCTGTCTTGCTGATTCCAGAAAATTATATTGGTTGGATTACACCAAGCTAGTCACCTGGAGGTCTGTTACAGAAGTGTATACTCGTAGCTTCCTTGCACACAGAGTTACATGTGCTATAGAAGGATGCAAGACCTCGCTACCTTTTTATTGAGGAGATAGAAGGCAAAGTGATCCAGTACGGTTAAAACAGGTGTTTGGAACAGAAGACCAGAAGAACGGAGAAGAAAATTCCGAGGTGCAGCAGGATTGGCTTACCGCATGCTGAAGTCTGTGGAAAAATATGCATTGAAAACTGGAGAGGAGAGGGGTGTAAAACCATATGTCTCCAAGTATGAAGTTACTGATCTGCACCATTAGATCCAGTAAATTACACAGACCTGTCCAGTCCCCTGGCACAGGCCACCCTATATTATCTAAATAACTGTTAAATAGTGTGTTCATAACTCCAAGTCGTAAATCAGCATGCCTTTATTCAGCATTCCCAGTCAACAAGATAAGGAAAGACGCTTAGTAAAAAGCACACGCGCATTTACAATGCTCACCCAAGGAACTGCCCCTCTCCCACTAATTACCTGCAGTTAGCCAACAACTCAACTGCACAGGCAAAAACTGCTCCCACTCCTACACATAGCAAGAACTCTGTCCAGAAACCTATTACAACCTCTTCTTTAAAGCTCCTAGAGTAGAAGATTTCATAACCTCCCTTGGCATGTTGTGCCATCAGTGAATTGTTCTTACAGATGGAATGTAATCACACAAACACACACAAA